CAATCGTGTTAGGAAGCATGTGCAGTGTGAGCACATTGACCTCTCAGTCATTTGACAATCAATGGTTACGGCAAAGTCAGCCTAGCCAGAAGTGTATTTTAATGACTAAGACCTACGTTCGTGACACATGACCCGATCGAACGTATTGTACGCCAAATGTCTGTTACCGCCATATCGTCGAGGTGCCTTAGTTACCTTTGGGGGCTCTTCTCTACTGGGGGATCTTGCCACAGGGCTTACTGAGCATGAATCAAGGCTTATTCTTGTAATAAACCACCACAAACTCATTTGCACAATTTTTGTTCTGAATTTAAGTAACAAGTAAAACACATTTAACTTCTACTATTCTTTCATACTGTGCTAAGTTTAGTGGGAATCCACCAAGCTCATCAATTTCTGGAGTTGTGAAGTGGAAAATTCACAAGAATAATCTCCTCTTATTAAGCTAATCTAACTCCTAATTATACTATAGTCATTTTTGGAGATATCGATGAACGACATCGAGGTGTCTTTGGATAGAAAGAGGCCCGAAAACAAATTTAGTCGCAAGAAATAATATTCTACTTCATAATAATACACTTTCATTGCATAACTGATTGATTTGGGTATAAATGAAATCCAGACTTTTCAAAGCATAACCCAAGATTATAATACCAGTATGTCCCTATATTAAGATAAGAATGATTGACCTAAGACTGTCTATAATGCGCTCAGACTAGCGTGGGGATTGAAAGAGCACTATTGAAAGTTTAATATAGAACGTACACTTGAAGGCAGTAATTTCATTTTTGAAATGCTTTCAAGAAGAGAATATCAACGAAAACAATCTTTAAAGACATGGTATAGTAATGGTACAGAACAAAAAAGATATAACAATCTTAGAGGGAAAATGTAAAAATCGTGGAGTCAAATGACCGTTCATTAAAACTTGCAATATGGAACAATATAAACAATAAAATTTGAATTTATATCAATATATTTCTGGCCTCCTATCAAATTGAAAATTTTGCAAGTCTCTTTGATTTAAAACAATTTTATTACCAAACCACTCTTCAAGGTCATTGTCTCAATTAGTAACTTTGAGCTAAAAATTTGTTGGTATATGATGGAGAGTGTTCGAGACAATGAGGATAATTTCGTGCATTTCTCTACTGTTCAAGACAAGATGTATGATTTTTACAAAGAAGGAAAGTTGGTGGATGTCACATGGAAAGTCGGTTCCAAAGAGGAAGAAGTGAACGCACATTCTTCAGTTTGTGCCTTGTCTAATCGTCTAAAAGAACTTCTTTTAGCACACCCTGGTGATGAAAGTAAACGAATCATTCGAATCCCATCAAGTCTGACTAACTCAGCAGACGAACTGAAATCACTGCTCTTTCTGGCATACACGGGAATGTTGGAAGAAAATCGGTCAATAACCGAGTATATCGAACTGTGTGAAAGGTTTGATATGCCTATAGGATATGCTGCGTGTTCTCGTGCTTTACGTTTTCTTTTCATGAAAACTCTTCTACAGCCAGGTATCAATGTAGAAGAGCAGAATACTCTCCAACGTATTTTTGTTGATGCCTTCGAGAAATCGACCTCCATGGAAGTTCACCAGACTATGTTGGATATGTTTAGAATGCATCCCTTAATCTTTAACAGTAAGGAGATCCTTTCATTATCACACCTTTTAGATCCCCTGTGTCTTTCAAAAGTCCCCCTAGACTGGATCCTAAAAGTAATCGAAGAGAAAAGTCTTTGGATGCAGAGTACAGAGGGCTATATCTATTTTGGTAGAAACTACGTAACGGAAGTTAATAAAGTATTGTTTTATTTTCACTTAAATTTGTTTGTTTTTTGCAAAAGTTACTGGATAATATTTTTACAATTCATGGTGCGACCAAAATTCCGATCGAGTTTAAATCAAAAGAATCAATGTTAGGTAAGGATGCCATAATCGACTGTGATTTGTTAATTATTTAGCTCCACTTTGCCTGAAGGACCCGATTAATGGTTCATATGGTTACCATTCGTACGCATATGACTACAAGTAAATGTCCATATATATTGGCATTTAATGAGATTTTAGCTTTTCAGAGCTACGGGGCTCCAAGGTTTCTTGCGAAAAACATCCACCCAATGAATGGAAGGTGTGTGCCATAACTGGCCATACAAGTCGTGGCTGGGATAACTTACAGGTTCTGGCCGGTAAGGTATAAGACCTATTTTTGATTATTGCACCAATAGGACTTGATATAACTTATGAAAATCTGATTACTGGACTGAAGGAAGAGGTGCTATGGGGATTTGAAAATGAGGAACTTTACACAAAGTGGTCAAATAAATGAGCCGAACTAATCCTTCTTTAGAAAAACAATTCAAGTTCCGGAAGATGACATTATCACTGGTGTGATAGTCAATGGTGGAGGGATGATCGATAAATTGGTGTTTACCACACTCCGAGGAATGCATCTGGATGCTTTGGGTAATTCTGACGGTGGAGTTATAGCAGTAATTGAACCATCAAACTTTTGGGGCAACAACAAACCCGACAGCACACTGGTTGCCTTCCATGGTATAAGTTACATCAACATCGAATCACGTGGGCAAACTTTTATATGCAAGCTGAAGTTTCGATTCTCTTGTGTGGACAGCGAAGTTGTTCTCAGATTAAATGAGAACGAAAAGGAATTTGCAAACGAGATCTTCAGAAACAAGAAAATACTGCTCTAGATCATTTTATCAAGATTCCCTACTTGACCGAATAATTTCCACTATAAACGCGATTTTATGAATGCTGCATATTTTTCCATAACCTGTCCTGACGTTTCTGCATATAATAAATTCTCAATCTAAGTGTGACATATTATCTTGTGTGCTAGGATTTTTGGAAACTGGCGGTCGATGGAGATCTCCGATCACATTAATGAATAAGCTGCCATTCATTACACTGAAACGTGAGGGGTGGAATGTGGAATATTTTAATTGATTTGAATAACTTCAGAGTACCGATAGGGGGTGGTGGAGTAAGCCGGTTTCTGTTTGTAACCTTGACGAACTGCACTGGCGTTACGAAGAAGGGGCTTAAAGATATAAGAACAGAAAACATTTTTGGCTTACTCTCTTAGGTTCAAGTAGCTGTTTGCCCCCTAAACAAAATTGGGGATATTTCAAAGCGCTTAGTGTTAACTCCTGTTCGCCAGAACTCTGGGACCTGTCTTCAAATCCTACCAGATTGCATAGAACTCCTCTTGTATAAGCTCGAGTAATATGGTAGAGAAGAGTGTTGACTTTAGATGCTTCCTTTACATTAATCTCACTTGAATCCTATGGCGTTCCTTTGTGATCCATCGGGGAGTTGTCTAAAGCTGTGAACTCTATTCCATGCCATCTTTAGTTTGCACAATCGTGTTAAAATAGTGAGAATAGGCCTTTGCTACTTGTCGATTGCCTTCTTAGTACTTTGACGACTGTCTTATTGTCATTGTTCTCTGGCAAATAAAGTCGTTCCCATTGGATAATGCCATAAAATGTATGAGGCGACGTATACTTATACGGCAAAAAAGTCTACAAACAGGCAGTTGACTTCTGACTTCAAACTACCATCACCCAATGCCATCTTTAGTTAGCACAATCGTGTTAAAATAGTGAGAATAGGTAGTGAATGAGAGTCCTTTCTTAATCCAAGTAAGATAGGTATGATTTCGTAATTCAGCTAGACAACTATCTCGTTTACTCTTCTCACTGCAAGGACATTCCACCTCGAAGTTCTCGTTGTGAGCATGAAAATCATTCACTTGTATGCGAATTGAGTGGATGAAAGAACGGAGGTCTCATTCCCAGTTTTTGGAATGCCAGAATAGTGATGGGGGAAATAGAATTGCCGAGAAGCGAACTTCGCTCAAAGCTTTTATGACCTGCTCCTGCGGCTTTAATATCTTCAGTTCTGCTTTCTAAGATGACCCAATAACTATAGAAGATGGAGTAGTCAGTCGAATTTGTCTAACATTAAAGGGAAATTGCGCAAGTTAGTGATGCCAACAGCACATTTTTCAACTGCGTATACAGATGCTACATCAGCGGGACTTGATTATCTTTCCAATACTTTCACAACTCTGTCTCCTACTTTTTTACCGAAATGATTTTATCACTTTTTTTCAACCTCTCAGCCAACCTCCATTAGAGCTACAGCTGCTCAAAATGGAGGAGCAGAAGAGATGGTGTATGGCAATTGGTGACAATTGATTGGCTGTCTGATTGGTGGATAATTGCCGTGACGTCTTCTTCACACGTATGAGTGTGCTAACGCAATCATTGTTAAACCGTCACATGGGAGATGAAATTATGCAACGGTACTATTCGATTAGGCATCTTAAAAAGAATCGACAAACGCTTACAATCAGTCATCGTTTCTGGAATGATGGAAATTGGGTGTGCGATAGACTTACCTCTACGTAGTGCACCCTGGGCAACGTATATCTCATGGCTAAAAAGTCTATAAGCAGACAGTTGACTGCAACCTACCATGACACAACTGTGTGTCATATTCTACCACTTCTACAGTACTCATCTTACCTTTTCTCGGGATTCGCGTCTGTCTGTCTATTTTACAATTGTGACTCACGCTTCTGTTCCTTACCCCTAGACTATCTTTTTCTTTGTTGTTCAATCCCTCTATGTAGCCCGAAGTCAGCTGAAGGGCTAATGATAACTATTAAAGCCACATGCCCCCTATGTAACCTACAGGAGGAAATGGAGAAGACCCACCTGATTCGGTGTTCAGTCCTAAAGACAACGACGGAAACCCTGAGATACTGGTAATCAAGAAGACAGCTAATGAAATGCTATTAAATAACTACTACACATATACCCCATCCATGGGGAAGGCTGAAAACAAAGTTTAAGGGCTAATGATAAATATCATGAAGCCTGCCATTTTAAATAATAATAATTATTGTTGCATCATGTGACTAGCAATGAGTGCAATGGGTCATAAACAAACTTAAAGTGTGCGCAATCTGCCACCAATCGTTTGTGAAAAGAGGTATTACAAACATGCCGACACAAAGCTTTGACCATGAGAACTTTAGCCAAACCCCCCCCCCCCCCTAATTATCAAGCACCGAATGCTTCGTTGAGTAATCACAACCAATCGTAAGTTGGTTTAAGCATATACCGTTGGGTCGATATCTCCAAACTTTTGGATATATATATAAATACAGCCTAGTCAGATCCACTAATCAATATTCAGTTTTTGCCGATAAAAAGCAATAAATTCACGACACCAAAATAACGTTTTAGTAGGCGAACAAAACAATGTGTCAAATTGATGACCAAATCTTACATTATTTGCATAAATCTAAGCTAAAATATTGAAAGTCATGATATACACTGCATAGCAAGAAAGCCGCAAGTTAGAGACATAAAGGAAAATATCATGGAAAATTTAGTTCCAGGCTGAACTGATATATTCCTTGTGGAATTTGTCCAAACATCCATCCAAATAAACTGCTCTATTCCTAAAAGAAGCACAAAGTAATAAGGTCAACCGAGTAGACTATTTAAAATTTAGTACTCAGTGAACGAAAGCTCACTTGAGAGTCTTTGCTGATGTAGTGATGTTGTCAAGAGTAACAAGATCCTTGTCCAATTGGGCAAGTTCCTCAGTGAGGTGGTTTGAAGCTATCTGTCCTTCATCAGCCAAACGTTTTTGCATTTGATGTAGTTCACGTTTTACCTGAACAGTACACGACAAACAGTTTATAAGGGTCTTGTCGTCTTCTATTCCTATTACTTCGAGGATTAACAAACTAACCTGATGTCTAGCGTTGGTGCCAGTAAGGTCAACAATAAGACGCAACTTTTGTGAAGCATACTCAACATATTGGGACTTAAAAGCAGCCTCGCGGGCCTTGTTTGTCCAAGAAAGGCGCTCATAAGCGTACAATCCAGCATAGAGCCCACCCATAATCATTATCATTCGCCATCCAGTAGCTTTTAGTACCTATAAGGTAAAAAAGAGCTACAAACTACTGATAATTTGTGAGTAGAATGTAGAGTTTGAAACTTACGATTCCCCCGACTACTAAGAGGCCGACTGCATTTCGGCTAAGCAATCCTGGAATGGCGGATAGGACAACAGGAAGAACTGGTGAAAACTCAGGCAGTCCTTGTGCATTTCTCTAACATAATAAAACACACCGCAACTTAAAATTAATCAATAGTATAAACGTATAGGGATTCAATAAGACAAAATTTACGTAGCCACCAGTAAGTATTGAGCTGACCGAACGTCTATGCACCAGACGTTCAGCAAGGGAAGTGAAACCAAGAGAGAAGCGGAAACGGAGGTCTTCTCGGAACTCTGCACAGATGTTCCGACAGTCGACATGAAACTCGGGTTCGAAAGAACTGGCCAATACGTGCTGGGCTATTCGACTTTTTGCCGCCTCGTCCGCTTCCAGTAAGGCGTTGTATATGCCTGCAAGGTGAAAAAACTGACTTAAAGTAATGGTATGTAAGAAAAGACTGAAATCTTGGTTACAGAGAAGATTAAAAGGAAGGAGTCATTGTAATCAACTTAGACTAATTGAACCACCTACTGGCCATAGTCTGTTCAGCTCGTACTACATGGGAGTGGATATCTCCAGCACATGCTTCAGCAAGATTCTTTCCAATCTCCCTACCAATGAAAACATTCAACTCCGCACGATAGGAGCTCATTACTTTCTCGTTATCGGCAATGAATGGATGGCCAGTAAAACTGTCCACCAACTCTCCCAATCTGCGTATTTCATTGCACAATGCAGACGCAACTTGTGCCTCAACTTCCAGCAAACACTTAGCGATGAGATTTTTGATATCCACGGAAGCTTGACGTAATTTCTCGTTGAGTTTCTCCAGACGAACATGGGAGATTCGACGATAACGAATACCAGCGTCCCTAGAACCAAATAGATTACTGAGTTATTTCAACTACTGATATCAATTAAGTAGCCAAATAGCACGTACTTTTCTTCGAGGGCAGCCTCGTATGTGGCTTCCATGAGTTGACGGAAATAAGCTGCTAGCTCTTTGCCCTGTTCTGTGTGAGAGGCAAACTTAGTTCGCGTGGCGGAGTCTGAGAGAATTTTCTATTAGGAGAGAAAAGTATAGACTGCCTTCAAAAGGGAAAGGGTGGATAACCTAGTAACTTCAGGTCACATGATATAGAGTAATTTTAGATCGTCTACTGAGGCAAAATAACGTTCAATTGTTAGCTGTACATCAACTTGATGACCCTTCTTCTCTACACTTTCACTATATTCCCCTTCCATGCATGCATTACCGATTTGAGAGTGGTAATTGAATAAACCAGAGTAAAAAGTGATATAATGGATGCAGAGACAGCCGTATTTACCTCTCCTTCAACCACTGACCAAGCAACTTTTAAGTATTTGCCACACCATAGTTTTACCAACTACAAGCCGATATTCAAACTAAGGAATAATAATAATGGGAAGGAAATAAAATGTCCAAATTTTACCCCATTGACATATAGGTCCCTTCAGGCAAACGCGTACCCTTTAATTACAAGAGGTCTTAGCGTGATCAATATGGTGGCACAACTTTGTGAAAAATTGTTCTCCATTAGCCACTCATATAGTTCCTCACCTTTTTAAAAAAGTCGTAACTTATAACATTTAGTACAAAAGATTCTGATTTACAAACTAGGTGCCTTATTCATTCAACGAAATGTCAGCATCTGGTGGTGAAAATCGAAAAGATACCAAAGTGCACATATCTCTTAAATCCACTTAACTATGCCAATTTTAAATCTCATTGTATACTTTTGCATGACATATACTACAATATATTAACATAAAAATTAGCTAAAAAATAACACCAAAATAACCGAATTTAAGAAATAAGCTATAATATGTTTTATATCAATTAATATCGTTTTACAGGCACAAGTACCAGACGCTTAATGCTCATCTTCAAATGACAAGAGAAAAGTATCCGAAATTCAGTAACAAAATGTACAGAAAAGTTAAATTAAGTCGTGTAAAATTGAGAAAATTGCTTACCTCAAAGACACCTTCGAACGTAGAAAATTCCAACAACCTGGCCTGCCAACCATCAGCCAAAGGATAACCTAAAATTTCAAGTTAGAATTCCGCATTCAAAGAATAGAAAAGAGGCTTTTGGAAAGGTTGATACGATTAAATACTGCAGACAATTTAAAAAGTGGGAATGTAACAAAACTTATAGGAATTCAATTCAAATCAAAGCAAACTAAGCCCACAATAAGTACACAATTCTGCAACCTTATGTTAAGGGACCTTGAAATCTAACCAATCCATTTCCACCTCCACACTTAAAGGTTTCCGCTCTCAAAACCCCACACAATATTTATGCAATTAGCATCTAACCAAATTCCATTGAAATATAAACATTTTATAATAAATTTAAACGATATTAACAGTATTGGTGGTAAAGACACATAAGTGAGGATAGACGGCAAGCAAGGTTTGAAAACAGAGTTGGACATACTGACAAAAGTAACCATAAGTAGTCGTCTAGCATTAACATACTACTGAAAAGGCAAACGCAGTAGTTGCATAACTAAAATGGTTACAATACGGATATAATTTGAACAGACAAAGATCAGTTTTTAATATTCAAGTTACCCAGGAAAGGGAAGTGGATTGGGAAAGTTAGGGACACCACTAAGCCTAAACCAACGATTTCTGAATAAACAAAGTTAAAAATGAAGCATTTGCTCCTATAGGTCTTCATAATTTGAGCAATCGGGAACATCCCATTCACAGGGAGCTCAGAAATAGTATACACATAAGAATTTACCAAGTGCAAAAGAACGGGTGGTGAAGATGCTCCCATATCGAGAGTGGCATATCAATTAGTTAGTACAAGATCCAATTTGCAACACGTACAATTTGTAATTAAATAAGACATAAAAAAGGAAGACACAGTCACACAATGAGTTAAATACACCAAAACACCAGAAGCAGAACCAGGACAGATAGTATGCTAACTACTTTTCTTAATTTGCATATGATATAAAGCTTATTTAAGTAGTATGAACCTACCACCACTGGAAGGAGTGCCAATATTTGGGGCAGCGCCGGGTGGAGTACCCCCATTGAGTGCCTTCGCTCGAATTGTGAGAACCTCACGAGCAGATATGAAAAATACGCGTTCCATTGCCTCTTCCCGACCGCAAACCTGCAATTCATCTGTCAAGAAGGCAACACAACGCTGCATGTGCTGTTCTTTCACCTAAACGAAAAGATTTTCAATAGATTCTAACAGTGACTTGAAAATTTTCGGATTCTGAAGTGAATATTGACAATTTTAAGGTAACAGGAGCAGTATTAACTTGAGGAATTTGTCATTATTTAGCTCATACGCCTGAATACATCAGAGCTTTACCAAAAAGCAAAGAAGCTAAATTTTGTGAAGAGAGGGTAACAGATTTTGTGTAGATTCAGAGGATCTAGTTAAGCAATCACCCTTCGATTTTTACCACAGAAAAAAAGATAAAAGCCAATAGACGCGAAAAAGGACAAACACGCATTGATTCGTTATAATAAAAAAATAATGTTACCTAAACAACTCTCAAAGGAAAAACTGGAAAAATTATGCTACGTAAAAATGAAAAGGACCGTTTTGCATTGAAATAGTAAGCATTCCTGTTTACAAATTTGTCTGAACAAAAGCGGTGCAGTGATCGCTCATAAATGTTTCGCACCAATTAATACATTTATACAAGTTGGCTAACTTTAACAAATATGCGAATTTTATGACTGATTAACAATAAAATGATAATTTAGATCTTCCTGGATCCAGACTCCTACCTTAGCAGCGTGAAGCTATGTTGCATGGGAAAAAATTCATTTACAATAAATAAACTTTAAGTTAATCTAAGGAATCAGTAATCATCCCGAGCCCAATAAATTAAAATAATACACATGGGAGACCAGCGTTTTAATCCGAAACACTTAAATGGAGAGCCAATTAACGGAAGCAAAATAATTCCGTAAAATTGTGCACACCATTTATGCCAAGTAACGTGCACATTCGCAATAAGGTTGAAGCGAGGTAGTAAGAATAGGCTAGCTAGCATCAAACAGATAAGAAAAGATTAACAAGAATCAGACGTAACCAAATAGTATAATGAAGTTTTCATTGAAGACAACAGATATCTATAAAAAAACTATATATTAGAAGATAGTTTTATAAAAGTAAAGGTAATGTGATGAAAAATTAACAAAACTTCCAATATGTACAAATATTTGGGTTGACAAATGTGTAATAACTGCGATTTTCTTAATAGTAAATAGGAGAGAAATTTTTCAAACAACTACAATTATCAGAGTTTAGACTGGCAACCAAAAAAACAAAGAAATAGATATTTTAAATTAAATTAAATGGAAAAATAATCGAACCTGATCAGCTAGTTCTGCTTCCCCTGCCGAGGCATCCCAGCGATTGTTGAGAATGAAAATGTTCGGCTTCGAAATGCGGCCACTAACACGATAAAAAAAGTCCTTTTCCTGAAAAAAAGTAGGGTAAACCATTATTTAGTATTCAACAGTAGCTGTTTTTGTAGAAAATAATGATGGCCTTGGCAACGAATTTGCAAATACAGAAATATAACAAACACGGTTGAAAGTATTATTCATCGTAAAGGTACATATTTACGACAAATTAATAATCATATAACTTTAACTAAGTTAAAAAAGAGTTTGTATCAATATTCACTACAAGGTAGTAGTAAGCACGAATATAGTATCATTAAAGCTTAATGAAGCTTATCAATTACTGCTAGGAACCTTTAAAGAATACAAAGTCATAATAAAGGCAATTATGAAGAACACTTAATGAAGGCACACAACTCACAGCCTGCATGAGAGTGGATTCCGCATTAGCGACAAGAATGAAAACGTCAGCATCTAGGCAATGTCTATCGATCCAAGCATCCATGTCGGGATCAACATTGACGCCAGGACTATCAAGAAAAGCTACATCCTCCTTTAACAGATTGCAGCTTGAACTAGGCCAGAAGAGATAAATGATAGCATCACTGGCCAATTTGACTGAACTCAATGAATGAGCCAACTGGCTAACTGATTCTATCGGTTGCGGCTGAAATAAAATAGCAAAGTGTCTAAGAGTGAATTGGAATAAATGAAAACTGTGCCTTAAACTGTCACTACCTCTGATGTGGTTCCATTGTTCACAGAATCTGGAATGGACTCCTGTTGTAAATACCCTTGCTCCTGATTAGTTCCTTGCACTTGAACAAAACAACTAGTGGTATGACCGATACCAGAGGGGAGAATTCGTGAACCCAGCATAGCATTTATGACCGTACTTTTACCATTTGAAGTTCTACGAAATAAAAAGTTAATCAAATATATGAACGTGTAACATATACCTTCCGAAAAAGGCACATTTCATTTGATTTCGAGAAATTATCTGTTGAATTTGTCGAACTTTTTCAAAATGAGGCTCTAAATCAGTTGAAGATGATTTTTCAAGTGCGGGAGATAGGCGCTTGCCGGCTTCTTCGGAGAGTTTTTCTCTGAAGAACTGACGGCAGTCATTTATGTAGCTCTCTATTTCGGTAAAAATCTTTTGTAATTCTTGTTTAGCTTCCTTGAATTTAAGGAGATCGGAGTGGGTATTACTCCTTGTAAGGATAGTCCGAGGTCTAACACCAGCGTCTGCCTTTACCTGGTCATCCATTAACGTTGGGGCAACAGCAGTCGCGCGAAAGATTGGCAAAACGAACTGCAGCCAGACGGTCGGTATATTAAAACAAATTTGATTAACCAAATTGGTAATTTATATTAGAGATAGTTGAAGTTTTAATAAGAAAACGAATAAGTATTCTCTTATCATATTAGAAACTCTTTAAATAATTAGATTTGACGAATAGGAGTATTTATAGACACCAACTCCACTAAAAATGTTATTAAATTTTGTAATTTAACTTACAGTCTTTCAACCTCGCACAAAATAATGTCCTATATTCAATCTCTTGCAGAAGCAACTTTCAATTTTGTATTCATTTGTCCGCTTCTGGGTTTTTAAGACCTTCTGATTTACAAAACTCCTTATGGACATCCAGTCTTTCCGATTTACTTATCGAATAATAATACCTTCTTGTTCAGTTTTTGTGTTACAAATTTCCCTCTTTAGTTATGTTTTGGCATTCCATCAGAATTGGTTTGCCACGTGAGCTTTTGGGCATATTTCGAGCTATTTAATTTCTTCCCAAATTCCTTCTCAACAATACCCTAGATCAAATTATGGCTATCGAGGTTGGGAACTTTGATATTGGCTATAAATCAGTTTAGTTGAAAACTCAACACCACATAGCAGATCAATTTTTTTACAAAAATGCGTTAGCGCATACCAGTTGCGTAGCTAGATATTCTCATTGGTCCTGTCAGAATTCCATTAATTCCTAGATTGGCCTAATATCAAATTTATAAGTAACAAGGACAATTAAATAAAAATTCTTATTTACAATTTGTGTATATGAAGAATAAATAATTGCGACAAAGGAACACATTTTTACATGAGATAAAGCACACATTCACCCATGCCTAACCAAATCGAGCCATCTTCGCAAGAATGTCTGCCTCGAAACTTTCGAAAGACACCTAAAATCAGATAAAAATATGGAACAAAATAAGGAAAAGAACGGACAACAATATGAACAATCAGCGAGATTAAAATATCCATTGAAGATCAATAAGTTCCCGACCCATATGTGTAATTTCGTGTAAGGTAAGACATTCTTACTGGCTACAGACTTGTAATATAAGACGATTCAAAACATTCACTAGAAATTACCCAACTAACCGACCAGTCAGAAAATCATTTTATTTCATTCATTTTTAGTTGACTAGTACCTGTAATTTCATATCAATTTAGAAACTGAATTAAATAGACTCAACACCACAATCCAATAACTTGATTTACCAAAATGCATGACCCATAAACACCTATTAAAGGTTATCAAAACCACTATAATAGTGAATAGGGTAAAAGTAACAGACCTCAAACTATGCGAAGTAACATACATTTTATATAAATCTTAGTAACCTGATGTGGCCGATGAGATGCAGTTACAATTGGAAATAACTAACATAATTGATCGCAAAGTAGACGTACGTTTTCTGGGAGGAGGCCGTGCTGACGCTCTGGTGATGGAGGTGGGCTCTTGCGTTTTGAATTGGAGACTTTCGGGATTGAATCAATGTTAGGTGGAGGAATGCCACCAGGCCAGGAGATATTTAAGGGATTATCTGGATAGCCAACAGTTCCCACGGATCCGAGGTGAATCGCATCCTCCTGATAAAAAAGACGTGAAGCTTTAGTGAAGGAAACATAAACAACTTAACCCAATGGAAGTAATCAACCACATTGCTGGTAACTGGAAGTTAGCTGACCTAGCAAACGCGATTCCAACATGGAAGCACAAACCCAAAAGGAAATCACCAAGATGAGACGTACTCATCTTCATGCTCCTTATCCGTTTGGGAAGGTAGTGGGCATTGTACCAAGATGGTCACTACCTCCCATGCCTTAGGCTTCTACATTTACTTTTTACCTTCTATACTGTTAAGAATCTTTACGTCTTAACTATAAATCACCATTCAAATTTCTTTAGATCGCTCATCCTTTAGAAATCAATTCCGCCTTATCAAATACTAATAACTAGCCGCCTAAATATCAGAAGGTGATGCTCGTACAGATGGTTAAATTCGTGCGCGAGAACACGGATATCAATTCGGACTTTGGAAAATGGAATACAAACGTAAAAAATGACTCGGTTTATTATTTCATTACTGTTTACTAATAACAGCCTCATACCTAGATAAAATGGACGGACACAGTTTTCTTTCTTAACCAACTTTACAGCCCTCAATAACCGCAGAAATACGGCTGCATTCTGAGAAACATTACAATACTTCCAAGTTTAGCAAGAAAATATATCCTAATCTACCTCCAACAATAAGGTGACAATGATTTTTGCCTCTACAAATTACATTTACAAAATACTTCCTCAAACGACACCCAATATTACGGTCAATATTGAAAATACTGCAACAAAAATAAACACGGAAGCTACATACTTACCGCTTCCTTCCTAGTGGCGAATTCGACAATTGCATTGCATTTCTTCCCAACAACTACATTTAGCACATTCCCAAACTGGAAATAAACAAATAGAGGTAGGAAGATTAAAGATTCACAACGATAATACAAAGAAACAGAAAAGATTATTACCTCTCGCAAACAGGTATAGAGGAAATCCTTTGTATAAAAATGGGTTCCACAAGTCTTTCTCCATTTAACCTAAAAATTTATAAAGGCAGAAATAAAACTAGATAAAGAACTAATGCTCCATAAAAACAAAAGTCCGATAGTTGAATAAAGGAGAAAATAAACACCTTAATATAATTAATACTTCCGGTAACAGTAAGCGCCAGAAAAATGAACTGCATGTACACAAGAAACTAAAAAACACGACCGACAACTTACGGCGACAACAAAGTTTTTCTCGGTCAAATCCGTCATTTTTTGCTTTTGCAAGTGTTCATGTCGAAGTGCTTCCTGTTCTTCTTCCCATTCTTTTCTAATTCTTTCAGCAACCCTTTCCTTCTCAATCACTTTATGAGCCTCTTTTCTTCTGGCCATTGCCTCTCTTTCTCGAGCCTCGAGTTCTAAATTGCAACATAGAAATAAAATGCTATTAAAAAAACAAATATTGAAGAAGGAGGAAAGCACTAACCTTCCTTGAGACGCCTTCGTTCGCTACTCAACTCAGAATGTCGTTTTGCAGCGGCTTGTCTAGATCGAATTTTTCTATCATATTCCTGTTTTAATACTGGATCCAAGAGTATATCATGATACTCCTTGAGCTTCTGAAACTTCTCCTCTATAAGTTTACTTATAAGAGAAACACGAATAACCTACTTGCTTTTGGGTCATCTTTGTTTTTATCCGGGTGCAATTCTTTAGCTTTAATTTTATATGCCTTCTTGATTTCTTTGAGTGAACTTTCTATTGACAGCCCGAAATACTGGTATAAATCCACATCGAGCTCGGGGGCCATAACCAACTCTTGTACGAACTACCAAGCAAGCCGGCTCAATAGATACAAGTTATAACACAAAAGCGATATTTCAGATCCAGGCCTCTAATAATAAATCTGCAAGCAAATGATAATATATATCACTATTTATTATTTGAGAATACAGGTCTGATTATAATATTTTTCGATGATTTACATTACATTATTTAAAATTAGCTAACAATCTACGATGCTAAATAATAAAGAAGCGAACTGTCATGAGCATATTTTGTAATAGATTCAGGCAGGCAATTATATCAACGCATCAATATCTTTGCGGAAGATAGGGCAAACAAATAATCCTTCTTAACACTCACAGATAAGTCATCAATTGTGGGAAACTGTAATAAAGGATATGCTACGATTACTTTTTTACAATATAATTAATTATATATTAATTATTGAAATATTAACAATTAATTAATAGTTATTTTCACATCGATATTACTCCCGATTAATACGCTTTTCGAAAACCGAAAGGGCATTTGATGCTTTCATTACTATATACTTGAAAGAGTTCATTTCAAAGGATGAACAAAGAGATTATTAAAACCTAACAGAGATCATTTAATTAGACGAGGTATTGCAAAATATGAACAGAATAGCATAGTTTTCTTGACGAAATATTAGAAGCTTATCTTAGATGTAAGAAGTGGCAATGTTGTGCATTCATGGTTCCAAATTATGATGATAGCATTATACCATATAGGATATTATTTACTCTTTATTTTCTGTTGCTCAAAGCTAACTTCAGGAGCAATCCTATGTTTGATTAGGGAGGATTGATAGGGTTTAATCAAGTCTTATTTGTATAGTATTCACTTGAAGAAAATACTCTTCCATCTAAAATAAATACTTATATAGACATCCATTTTATATATTTTATGCCAAGAAATTTGTATAAAGCAAAAGCGTGCCAATGTATAAATTCCCCGAATCCGATTATTTGAATAACACATTTGGGAATAGTTTTCGAAATATTTACAAAGAATCTAATTTATGTAAATAAAGATTCAAATTCAGTCCAATATAAACTGAAACGGGATAATCTTTTTTACTGCTTTCTCTTTTTTATTTGCGAAGACTTAATTCGTATTCATATTTTTATTTGTCGGGTCCAAGTCATCATTTATTATTTCAAATGGCAGGCTTTATGATATTTATCATTAGCCCTTAATCTTTGACTTCAGCTTCCCCCCAGAAGATTGGGGGGGGGGGGGTACATTTATAGAAGTTAATTAATAGCAATTCATTAGTTGTCTTCTTGCTTCCCAGCATCTTTGGCTTTCCGTACTAGTCTTTAGGGCTGGACACCGAATCAGGTGGGTCTTCTCTATTTCTTCCTGTAGGTTACATAGAGGGCATGTGTGTTGAGTGCATAATCCCAATCTGTGAAGGTGTTTTGAAAAGCAATCGTGTCCGGTACGTAGTCTAAACTCAG